AGGTGTGCCGACTTCGTAAATCCTTATATGGTCTCAAGAAGTCTCCTCGAGCATGGTTCAGTCGCTTCAGTTCTGTTGTTCAGGCTTTTGGCTTAATCCGCAGTCAAGTTGACCATTCTGTATTTTATAGGATCCATCTCCTGATAAGTGCATCTATTTGTTAGTCTATGTTGATGACATCATTCTCACCGGAAGTGATCAAGTTGGAATTCGTCAGTTAAAACAGTATTTATTCAGTCAATTTCAAACAAAGGACCTTGGGAAGCTGCGTTTCTCCTTGGGAATTGAGGTGGCACAATCTAGACAAGGCATTTCTATCTGTCAAGGGAAGTATGCCTTGGATATCCTAGAAGAGACTGGTATGTTGGGGTGTAAACCAGTTGATACACCCATGGATCCCAATGTCAAGTTATTGCCCGGACAGGGGGAGCCATTATCTGATCCTGGTCGTTATCGGAGGCTAATTGGGAAGCTCAATTATCTTCTTGTGACTAGGCCAGACATTTCTTTCGCGATTAGTGCGGCTAGTCAGTTTCATGATTCCCCTTGTGATTCTCATTGGGATGCTGCTGTGAGGATCCTCCGATACATCAAAGGAGCACCAGGAAAAGGTTTGTTGTATTCGGATCAGGGAAATACAGAAATTTGTGGTTATTCAGATGCTGATTGGGCAGGATCACCTTCAGACAAGCGCTCTACTTCCGGCTATTGTGTCTTCTTTGGAGGAAACTTAATTTCTTGGAAGAGCAAGAAACAACATCATGTTGCTCGCTCTAGTGCAGAAGCTGAGTATCGTGCAATGGCAATTGCTACCTGTGAGTTAATCTGGTTAAAGCAGTTGATTCATGAGCTTCATCTTTATGAACAGAAACAACCCATGACACTCATTTGTGCTAATCAAGCTACACTACATATATCCTCCAATCCTGTATTTCATGAAAGAACCAAACATATAGAGATTGATTGTCACTTCATTCGAGAAAGGATTCAGTCAGGAGAAATCAAAACAGCTTTTGTCAACTCTAATGATCAACTAGCGGATGTCTTCACTAAAGCTCTTAGAGGTCCTCGAGTTGAATACATTTGTAACAAGCTTGGCGCTCACAATATATACGCACCAGCTTGAGGGGGGTGTTAGAATAGGAAATATTAGATATATAGATTTGATATAGATTTGTATAGATTACCTTTCTATCTGTAAATGTTATTTTCCTATTTAGTTTTGTATTAGTTATGGGCTTCTCACTCAAGCCCATTAGGTTCTCTATATATTGTAACTCTTTGTATTACCTTAATACACATTATCATTTTATATTCACGTATATTTAATATTCAATAATCTATCAAAAAATGAAATTAAACTTATAATACCTATCAATTTTGCAAAAAAACATAAGATATCCTAAATATTTATATCAAACTCAATAAAATGGTAATCGTAATCCAATGAATCTAATAGTTGAAACTAAAAATACAACTCAACACAACCTTTGAACCCTTTTTTGAGTCTCTACAACGCGTGTTGGAGTGTCGGAGTGTCGGGAAGTGTCGGACACGACATAGCAAGATTTTTGAAGTGTCAGTGCTTCATAGGCTAGAGGTAAGGTTTTTGCCGATTTGTATAAAAATCTAGGGAGCAAGGATGGTGAAAAAGGTATATATATACTTGGAAAAATAAGGGATATGAAAAGTAAATACCTCACCCAAGTTAGATGCATCAAGGATGAAAACCAAAAACATTTGGTAAGAGATGAAGACGTAAATGAAAGATGGATGAACTACTTTTAACAAACTTTTTAATGGGGATGGCGATAAAAGCGAGGTGGGTTTGGATGATGCTTATGATGATCTGAATAGAAGATTTGTGCGCAGAATCAATACACATGAAGTCAAGGAGGCTTTAAAGAGGATGAAGACTAATAAAGCTTTGGGACCCAATGGCGTACCTATTGAAGTGTGAAGGGGCATGGGGGAGGTGGTAATAAATTGGCTGACCAATCTTTTCAATAAGATTCTTCAAACAAATAAGATGATTGATGCTTGGAGGAAGATTATGCTTGTGCCTATTTACAAAAACAAGGGAAATATCCAGAATTGTTCTAACTATAGAGGCATTAAGCTTATGAGTCATACTATGAAGATGTGGGAGAGTTATTGAACATCATTTGAGGAGAGAGACAAAGATTTCTGTAAATCAATTTGGATTTATGCCACAAAGATGTACCACATAAGCTATTTTCTTGATGCGTCAATTGATGGAAAGATATCGAGAAAAAAAGAAGGATTTACATATGATGTTCATAGATCTTGAGAAAACATACAATAAGGTCCCAAGAAAAGTTTTATAGTGGGTTCCCGAGGAGAAAAAAGTATCATCAAAGTATGTAAATGCAATCAACGATATGTATGATGAGGCTACTATATGTGTGAAAGCTTGTAATAGAACATCAAGTTATTTTCCTATTACATTAGGTGTACACCAAAGTTCGGCTCTGAGTCTTTATCGCTTTGCCTTAGTGATGGATAAACTAACAAAAGATATTCAAGAGGAAGTGTCGTGGTGTATGCTTTTTGCAGATGATATTGTGCTTATTGATGAGACCATAAACGGTGTTGATAGGAAACTTGAATTGTGGAGAAGCACTTTGGAGTCTAAAGGTTTCACGTTAAGCCGGAGCAAGGCTGAGCATATGAAGTGTGAGTTTTCTCTGGTAAAAGATGGAGATCAAGACCCCGTGCATCTACTTGGTCAAGAGGTACCCAAGCAAGATGCTTTTAGATACCTGAGATCAATTTTGCAAAAAGGTGGTGAGATTGATGAGGATGTAAATCATAGAATCAATGCAGGATTAAAGAAATGGCGGAGTGCACCTGGGTTTTTGTGTGACCGCAAAATTACCCTTAAGCTAAAAGGAAAATTCTATAGGACAGTAGTAAGGCCTGCAATATTATATGGAGTTTAATGTTGGCCAGCACATAGGCAACACGAGCTTAAAATGGGAGTGGCAGAAATGAGAATCTTAAGGTGGATGTATGGTCATACTAGGATGGATAAGATAAGAAATGAAGATATTCGACGAAAGGTAGAAGTAGTACCGGTAATTGAAAAGATGAGGGAACATAGATTGAGGTGGTTTGGACACGTAATGAGACGACCCCTGGATGCTCCCGTAAGAACAAAAGTTTGTTACCAAGAGCTCGACACAAAGAGAGGTAGAGGTATACCGAAACTTACCTGAAGAAAGGTAGTTAAACAAGACTTAATGGAGTGGAATATAGATTGGCGGACGGTGTGTCTTAGGACGAAATGGAGAAAAGCTATAAGCAGGGTGAAAGATTAAATCCGTTGTTATTTCTATAATCCATATAGTCCCTTTTTAGTCCTTTTCCTCTTCAGTCCCCCCTCTCTTTCCTTTTCCCTTCTTGTCTTTTATCTTATTTCCCCCTTCCGCAATTTTTTTATTTTTTTTTATTTTTTATGTATTTTTTTTAATCTCCTCTTATTTATCATTGGGTTCATCTACCACCAACTCCAATTAGCTTGGGTTAAAGGTGTTGTTGATCTCTTCATGTTGATGTTGATCAAAGGAAAGGATAAAAAAAACAATAGAAGTGAAGCTGCAATGCAACCTAGAAGAGAAGCTACAAGTCGTGGAAATATTTGGAACAAAACTGGGTCTCTGTGAGGAACAAAAACAATATTTCAAAGCGCAATGTAATCTCTCTCGCCGGTGAAGCTGCAAGTTGTGGAAATATTTGGAACAAAATAGGGGTCTCTGGTAGAAGAGGAAGTCCAACGAACAAAGCAAGCAAAGAGAAAAGAGAGAGAGAGGAGGGGTATTTTGGTCCGAAAATAGTTGAGAAATTTTCTCATCACCTGGTAATCCAAGAATACCACCCCCTAGGTGGTATTTTGGTTTAGGTTTTACACACAAATGGAATCCCGAGAAAATCACTTTCTCGGGAAAAATTTCTGAAATGTGCTACCAGACATGGTCGTCTTGGAATCACACCTTCACTTTCCTGGGTATCTCAAAATAATCCTTCTACCAAACACCCCCTAGGATTCACAGAAGTGTTAATAGGCTTTGAATTGGAAAAACAACAAGAACTGTTTTTTAACATAGTGTAACTGCGGCGACACATTTAATGAGGTGGGAAATTTTTTTATCCAAACCAACATAGAGATTATAGAAAAAGAAAAGTTGACCCAAAACATGAGGAAGAGAATACATAGGTTGGTGGGGAGACAAACAGAGGGAGGTACCTCGTTATCAATCAGAGGAAGGCATGTAGTTCATCAAGTAGAAGGGTGTAAGAACTTCATCGCCCCATAAACGGAAAGGAATATGATCATGAATGAGGAGAGTCCAAGTTGTTTCAATAAGATGTCTGTTTTAATGATCAACAACCTAATTTTCGTTGAGGGGTATGGACACAATAATTTGGTGAAAAAAGTCATTTGAAGCCATAACAAAAGTTTGGAATGGCTGATACAAATATTCATGCATTACAAATGTGCAAGGTACGAACGAGAATACCAATCTGAGTCTTACTTTCATGATAAAAATTATGAAATGTTGAAAATGAATCAGACCTATTCTGTATTAAAGAGTATCAAGTACAACTAGATTTTACATCAATGAAGTGACAAAATATCTTGACACTCAAGTAAAAATAATACGAGAATGACCTCAAACATCTGGGTTCATTAAAGCAAAAAGAGACGAAGCTCGACTAGAATTTATATCAAGAAATGAACTACAAAGCAATCATCTTTACTTATACTATTACACTCCAAATCCTATTTAAATAAAAAAAAATATCATGAAATACAAAGAGACAAGAAAGCTATTCCTAAGAGATCATCTAAAAATACTTTAAACCATTTTACGATACAATCAATATATTATGAGATATTATTCATATATTCTAAAAGTAACATCTCTATTTATCGAATAGGATTAATAACTTGAAAGTTGCCTTTCTAAAATGTATACCTGTGCTGAAATTGTTACAATTCCTGACTGCAACTCAGATGCAACATTCGTAACATCCTTGACATAATTATTGTTTGCAGGATCTGCTAGATCAGATTCCGCAACATTTGCCACATATGTAACAGGTTTCATGGTGAGCAAGCAGAGATGCTTTACAGCATCCCTTTCAAAATCTGTTAAGGTCACAGATCGTGCAGGTTTTCCATCCATGAGTCCTTCCTGAATCTTTTCCAATGCAGACTTTTCTGCCTCTTCCTAAAATCAAGCATTTCAAAATCAATTGAGTAATATTTTTCAACTGATAAACACAAGGGCCGATGCAGGTGTAGCATTTAAAGACTATGTAACCTTGAGTTTAGATTGTGAATTCTGTGTCTTGCTTTTCTTTAGTTTATCCATTCTTTTATCAATCTGCATTTCTTGAAGAAAGGAATATTTTAGTTCAGTCAGTCAATTTTGTCATAGAATCAATAGCAAGTGCATGTCCATAGGCAGATAGACTCCCAGAAACCCAAAAGAATTGATCACAACCAAGAGGAAGGAAAATAATACAATAAAACAAATCAATACAATCATGATAAATATGCTTAAAGTCATTTGTCTACCAACACAATTTAGAATGATCATAATAGATCCAAAGAAAACAAAGGCAGTAAAATTTTATAGGATGATAGTTTGTAAGCTGACCTGGTCCAAGTCTGAGAAAACAAGCTCCAAGTTGATAACATCAATATCAGACTTGGGATCGACTTTCCCATTCACATGAACAATGTCATTATCCTCAAAACATCGTACGACCTAATGCAATAATCAATAGACCCACGGCAATAGTAAATCAAAAAGGGGAATAACAACTACCTTATATTTTTTAACATATATACAATATTTTCCAAACTTCAAGTTCTAATTAGGAATATGTACACAGCTAATAAATCGATTTCACAAAAGAAGGGAAGATACAGATAATCAGAACAAAAATAATAAGTAATGAAGTAAGATAATGATGATAGATAAACACCTGAAGAATAGAGTCAACCTCACGAATATGTGACAAAAACTTATTACCCAGCCCCTGCAACAGTTGAAGTAAGAAAGAGATCAAAGCAATGCTTATGTACAACAAAAAATAAGTTTTTGTTGACAACAAAACTAAACAAGGAAAAGGGAAATTAAGAAAACCTCGCCCTGACTTGCACCCTTGACAAGCCCAGCAATATCTACAAATTCTATGGATGCTGGAACCACTCGTTGAGATTTACTGAGATCAGAGAGCACAGGGAGACGAGAATCTGGAACAGCAACAATCCCTACATTCGGCTCTATTGTACAAAAAGGAAAATTAGCAGCTTGAGCCTTTCCATTTTCAACCTAGACATACAAGACCACCATATATTAAAATTTGATATATTATCATAGCATTGGGAACTAGAGCTATAAGCAACCAAAACATCAATACAATAATCAACCAAAACAATGAACAGAAATTGAAGAAACTAAACCAAAAAGGCCATACAATACTTTGCTAGTCAGTTGATTATACAGAAGCATACAAAGTTATCGCAAGCTCAATGCTTATTATAATAATAACATTTTATTTTTAAAAGTAGCCATTCAAGGTTCATATTTGTCCACAGCTATTTCTTAGAGGAAATTTAAGTATTCATTCTATGATAAAGTATCCATTTACCTAAATAACAAATTCAAGTAAGTCATCATAACAAAAACCATAAATTTCAAATCTCATAATACATATACTCAGCTTTTTGGTATGTTTAAGTTTGTTTCGAAATACAGATCACCTCATCACAAGTAAGAATACCTATTGGGAAGTATAAAAATAAGACATGGGAAACTTTGCACTTAGATTTAACTGCAACATCCTCATTTCAAGCTTCGAGGGATCTACTAAACACTTGCGCACAAAGTTGTAGGGCACTGAGAATAAAAACGGGCAACCTAGTGCTATGAAGCTCTTGCTCTGCATAGGGTCAAGGGAAGGGATACTTCACCTTGCATTTTACAAGAGGCTGAGTGCCTGAGTACGTGGATCAAACTGATGTACTATATAAAATATCATTTGTATTGCCAAAACGATTCCTTGACATAGATACATTGCTTTGGTACTCTACAATCTTTGGATGATAAGAAAGGGATTTAAACAAGATGTGCACATCTATTTTTCTTTGTAATTGCTAGAGTTAAGCACATCTTCATCGTCAAATATTCATGAGCAAAGAATTTATGTTACAGTATTTACCAAATGAATGAAGTTAGATTTTTACATGGAAATAATGCATCTCCAAGTATCAAGGAAAGCTAAGAATTCTGAGACATTGAGCATTCCTCATCCATTTTAATGAAACATTCTTGCTTTCTTAGCCAAAAATAGTTCATCTTTTTAAATGGTTTAAACATTTACGAAATATCAGATGCTTTGTTCATTACACGATACCTGTATGTGCACTCCATGTTCCCAAAAATTTATTGATTTAAAAGAAAATAATCAATGTGATGCCAAAAACGCATAGAAAAAGTGGCTAAACAGAAAGTTAGGATTTCACAAAAGAGTAACCCTCTGGTTCTCAATTTCATTTAACAAAATAACGAAATTCAACTCCTAAAATAAGGGACATAAGCACCCTTTTATAGACTAATTACAAATTGATCCAAAATTCAAAAATCTAAAATCCTAAAAATAATAAAACTTCCTAAAATAAATATAACAATAATTATTAGAGTAAAATAGTTGAGTAAATTTTGTAACAGCTGTTAGGATTTGTAACAGCTGTCAAGGGTAATTTTGTAACAGCTATTAAGATTTGTAAGAGCTGTCAAGGGTATTTTTGTAATAGACTAAATGCAATTAGTTAGCAAAACTGAATCAGTTTCAGTGACGTGGCATTGCTCTCAGCTCTATAAAGAGCTCACGTGTAACGTTTTGACTCAATTGAATAATATCAGTTACTATTCATCACTCTCTCTCTCTTTTCTGATCTCTCTTCTGACTTCTGACTTCTCTTGAGCCTGCCTCCATCAAGCAAGCAGTAGCTAGTCCTCATTGGCTATCTGCCATGCAATCAGAATTTCATGCACTTCAAGCCAACTCTACTTGGACCTTGGTTCCTCTCCCTAAAGAGAGAAAGGCCATTGGCTGCAAGTGGGTCTTTAGAATTAAAGAAAACCCAGATGGCTCTATCAACAGGTACAAGGCCAGATTAGTGGCCAAAGGCTTCCATCAACAAGCTGGTTTTGACTATACTGAAACCTTTTCTCCAGTTGTGAAGCCCATTACTATTCGGATTATCCTTACTATTGCTATTTCTTTTGGGTGGCAACTAAAGCAATTAGATGTAAACAATGCCTTTCTCAATGGCATCTGAGAGGAAGAGGTCTACATGAAACAACCTCCTGGCTTTGAGTCTTCTAACAAATCTCTTGTTTGCAGGTTACATAAAGCTCTCTATGGTTTAAAACAGGCTCCAAGGGCCTGGTTTGATAAACTCACACTCTTTGTTCCATCTTGGGTTCACTGCAAGCAAATGTGATCCATCTCTCTTCATCTACAGGAAATCTGCTTACTGTGTGTTTCTTTTAGTCTATGTGGATGACATCATCCTCACTGGTAGTGACTCGGGTTTACTCCACTCACTGGTTCAAAATCTGAATGCTTCATTTGCTCTAAAAGACCTTGGAGACCTTGATTTCTTCCTTGGAATTGAAGTTAAAAAGACATCATCAGGTGCCCTTTTTCTGTCACAGTCCAAGTATATAAGAGACTTGCTTACTAGAGCAAATATGGCTGAAGCAAAAGGAATCTCTACACCTCTTCCTTCTGGATGTAAATTATCTCGATATGGTGCAAACTATCATTCAGATCCTTCCTTTTATTGTTCAGTTGTTGGAGCATTGCAATATGCAACTCTCACCCGGCCAGAAATTAGCTATGCAGTGAATAAAGCATGTCAATTTATGGCCCAGCCCCTTGAAGAACACTGGTCTGCTGTAAAACGGATTTTAAGGTATCTTCGAGGTACTCTTCAGCATGGTATGTTACTTCAACCTTGTCATCCCAGCCATCTCTTCTCTATCACTGCCTTTTGTGATGCTGATTGGGCTGGTGATCCGGATGACCGTAAATCAACATCAGGTGCATGTGTATTCTTTGGATCCAACTTAGTCTCTTGGTGGTCCAAGAAACAAACACTCATTGCAAGGTCTAGCACTGAAGCTGAATACCGTAGCCTAGCTCTTGCCACAGCTGAGGTTCTTTGGCTTAAGTCTCTACTCAAGGAACTTCACATCCAGTTCACTTGTCCCTTGATCCTTTGTGACAATCTCAGCACTGTCAATCTGTCCCACAACCCTGTCCTTCATGCTCGTACCAGTTTGACATATTCTTTGTCCGGGAAAGGGTTCTGGCTAAAGAAATTCGTGTTTGCCACATTCCTGCCATGGATCAAATTGCGAACACTCGTACAAAGAGTCTTTCTGCCTCACGATTTGCTACTTTGAGAAACAAACTCAGTGTGGTTGACTTCCATTCTCTGTTTCATCCACCCTGAGTTTGAGGGAGGCTATTAGAGTAAAATAGTTGAGTAAATTTTGTAACAGCTGTTAGGATTTGTAACAGCTGTCAAGGGTAATTTTGTAACCGCTGTTAAGATTTGTAACAGTTGTCAAGGGTATTTTTGTAATAGACTAAATGCAATTAGTTAGCAAAACTGAATCAGTTTCAGTGACGTGGCATTGCTCTCAGCTCTATAAAGAGCTCACGTGTAACGTTTTGACTCAATTGAATAATATCAGTTACTATTCATCACTCTCTCTCTCTTTTCTGATCTCTCAAAATGTTCTCTCGTTCTTCATCTCTCTCCTTCATTTCTTTGAATAATTAACCTCTAAATATAAATAAATAATTACAATTAAATCATTCAAAACACGTCCCAAATCTTAAATCTCAAATCATGCCAAATGTGTTGCTTTCCTTTTCTTGCCAAATTAATCACAATCATATCTGCTGCTTCATTTGAACTGTGATTTGATCGCAATTTGTTATATTTCAAATTGTTGCTTCTTTTAACAATTGAGTCACATACTTATTGGGCCACAATTCTGATTGATTCCGGGCTTCTTGAATCGATGGTTGGGCCATGTGCAATGGGCCAATCGTAAGTGCATCATTCTCCCTTACTTAGAAAATATTCGTCCTCGAATTTGCTTCATATTCAGTGATATCAATTTCATTAGACAAAAACTCGAATGATAAATCTTCCTCTATTAGATCTCCATAATCTGATTCTCCATCAGATTTATCATAGACTAGATATTATCATTATAAACTGAATCTTCATCATAAGAAGGATAATCATCATAAATGGGATAATCATCATAAACTGTGTTATGATCATAAATATCAAAGTCAGGAATGTTGATTTGCATCTCAATATCTTGAAAAGTGGAATGATTTCCAGGTTGTACTTCACAATTCTGTCCTTGGTTTAGAATCCCCAAGGGATTGACGTCCTCCTCTTCGTCATAAAATGCGTCCTCTAATTTCATTCCTTCTTTGAATTGAATGCCCAACTTTGTCCACGCAAGTCGTCGCTCCAAATATTGGATTTCCATGCTTTGCGCCTCCACAAGAGTTCACTTCAAAATTTGGACTTTCATGCATACTCACACTAGTCGTCGCTCCAAATATTGAATTCTCTTTCTCTGCGCCCGCACAAGTAATGGCTCCAAAACTTGGATTTTCTTATCCAACGCTTGCTCAAGTTAGTGCTTCAAATCCTGGATTCGCCTTCCGAGCTCTTCATTTTCTATCTTACGTGGTTGTCTTTCTTCTTTAGGAACTATTGAAAAGAAGTTTTTGTATATTGATATTGAATAAATTACATGAGTGAGTATTTATACAAGAAAGAATCGCTAAGAATGACTAAGCGATGACTAATCAATCCTATCACAATCCTAATCACAATCAATTCTAATCAATCACAATTAATCCTAATCAATCATAATCAATCCTAATCAATCATAATCAATCCTAATTAATAGGAAATAAAAACGGAAACATGTTTGAATTCTAATTTTCTACACTCCCCCTCAAGTTGGGAGGTAAATATTGATCATTCCCAACTTGCCAATCAAGTCTTCGAATGCTGGACGGTGTAGGCCCTTGGTAAGGACATCTGCCGTTTGCTCTTTGGTTGGAACATATATCAAATGCACACTTCCATCATCTAATTTTTCTTTGATGAAGTGACGATCAACTTCCACGTGCTTTGTTCGATCATGATGCACAGGATTTTCAGCAATGCTAACAGCTGCCTTGTTGTCACAATATAGTTTTATTGGTAGGGAATATGAAA